TGCCTGCTCACACAAACACACGTGCCTGCTCACACAAACACACGTGCCTCCTCACACAAACACACATGCCTGCTCGCCTGCTCACACAAACACACATGCCTGCTCACACAAACACACGTGCCTGCTCACACAAACACACATGCCTGCTCACACAAACACACGTGCCTACTCACACAAACACACGTGCCTGTTCACACAAACACACGTGCCTGCTCACATAAACACACGTGCCTGCTCACATAAACACGTGCCTGCTCACACAAGCACACGTGCCTGCTCACACAAACACACATGCCTGTTCACACAAACACACGTGCCTGCTCACACAAACACACGTGCCTGTTCACACAAGCACACATGCCTGCTCACACAAGCACACATGCCTGCTCACACAAATACACGTGCCTGCTCACACAAACACACGTGCCTGCTCACACAAATACACATGTCTGCTCACACAAACACGCATGTCTGCTCACACAAACATGCATGTCTGCTCTCATAAATAGACCATGCATCTGAGCACAGCTTTTTCTCCCATCTGACCCGATGGCTTTGCTTTACTAGTGTTCCTGACTAGAACTGGAAGTGGGGACAGAGACAGTCTTGCCTTCTTTCTGCTCTTAGGGCCAAAGTTTTCAACCCCTCACACTAAACATGATGTTGACTATGAGGGTTTTGTAGATGTCCATTCACACATTAAGGAAATTTCCCGCTATTCCAGGGTTGCTGGGGGTCTTAGGGGGAAAAGGGACTGGATTTTGCTGAGAGATTTTTTTTTATAATTTAGGATGACCATGCATTTCTTGTTGTTTTATTAATGTGATAGAATTGGTTTGTATAGTTTGAACCAACCTTAGGCTCCCAGACTAAATCCCACTTGATCACGATGTGCAATCTTTCTTGTGTCACTAGGTTGGCTTTGCTAGGTTTGTGTGGGTGAGTGTACACGTGTGTGTGTGTGTACACGTGTGTGTACACGTGTGTGTGTACACGTGTGTGTGTACACGTGTGTGTGTACACGTGTGTGTGTACTCGTGTGTGTGTGTACACGTGTGTGTGTATGTACACGTGTGTGTACATGTGTGTGTACTCGTGTGTGTGTGTACACGTGTGTGTACTCGTGTGTGCTCATGTGTGTGTGTGGGGGGGTACTTTATCTGGCTTTCCGTCTGCTGCATTTTCACTTTCACCCATCTCACAGTTTTCATTTTTTGTAGCTCACCTTGTGGTTTCTTTCTTTTTAACATTTTTATTTTATAATTAACTTGATTTCACATATCAGCCATGGATTCCCCTGTCCTCTCTCCTCCCACTACCCAGCCTTCCCCCCAGTCCATCCCCCATTCCCATCTCCTCCAAGGCAAGGACTCCCCTGGGGAGTCAGCCAGCCTGGTAGATTCAGGTGAGGCAGATCCAGTCTCCTCCCTTCACCCAGGCTGAGCAAAGTGTCCCAGCATCGGCCCCAGGCTCCAAAAAGCCAGCCCATGCACCAAGGACAGGTCCTGGCTCCACTGCCTGGGGGCCTCCCAAACAGTTCAAGCTAATCAACTGTCTCGCTTATCCAGAGGGCCCCCGGTCCAGTTCCCTGGGGGCTCCTCAGCCACTGGTTCATAGTTCACGTGTTTCCACTAGTTTGGCTATTTGTCCCTGTGCTTTTTCCAATATCTCTTGGTCATACAATCCCTAATCTCTCTCACCGATTGGACTCCTGGAGCTCCACATGGGGCTTGGCCGTGGATCTCTTCATCCGCTTCCATCAGACACTGGATGAGAGTTCTATCATGACAGCCAGGGTGTTTGGCTCAGGCACTCTCTCGACCATTGCCAGTAGTCTACAGTGGAGGTATCTTTGTGGATTCCCAGCTGGGTCAGGAGTAGAGTGGGAGAATGGGGAGGGAGATACCATGATGAATGAAGACCCCAGGGGAATAGGAAGAAGCAGAGTGCTAAAGAGGTTTCTTTCTTTTTACCCAGTGATTACTTAGCAGGGTGGTTTGTTTTCATACTGCTGTGAGGTCTCCAGACTGTTTCTACTCCATGCTGCTAATTCCACTTGACTGTAGATGCCGTCTTCTCCTGAGCTCTTCCCTCACAAGTCCAGTGAGAGTCGAAACCTGCTTCACCCTCTCACCTCAGGGCTCCCTTTCCCTTGCTGTGCTCCCCCAGGACACTAATCACCGAGTGTCTCACCAAACAGGCCTGCTTCCTGTCTCCATCCCTACCCTACAAACTAAAAGTTACGACCCATGTATCACTCCATTTTAATCATGCCAAAGTTGCAGCTATAACTTGTTTTGGTTGTTACTGGTGTTTTCCTGTCATTCCCTGCTGTCACATTGTCACAACTCAGTAAACAGGAAAGGTTGCCACACCTACGCCTAGCTGATGGCCAGGGACAGGTGCAGGTACCTGAGTATACCACAGGAGCATCCCACTGCCGAATCATGCTCTCAGCCCACTAGTGTTTAAGCTAATATTTGTGCTCCCTGACTGTTTCAAGTAGCTGCTCCAAAATTGGCATCATGTGTAGATTTCCCTTTCTTGCCTCTTCTTTGGTGAATCTACACCCGCCCCACCACAATTAGATACAAACAACTGTGATGTATCACACTGGGTAGTTGATAGCTTTGTAGTATGATTGTACCATTTAAATTTTATTGTGACATTTCCATACACACCCATCATTTTAGTTTGTCTCCCTGTTCTGTCTTCCTCCTTGCCCCTCACAGACCCCCATCCCTGCCCCTCACAGACCCCCATCCCTGCCCCTCACAGACCCCCATCCTTGCCCCAAATATCTCCCCTTTGCTTTCATATCATGTATATGTGTATGTTGTGTGTTGCTAAATCTAGATTCCAGATATGAGGAAGATATGAAATCTTTTGTCTTTGCCCACACCAGTAATTTCTTTCAGCAAATACAAACCACACACAATCAAAATCAACTTCTACGCATCCAGGGGCTCACTTTCCACAACTGCCACCCTCTCCTACTTCATCTTTCCTTCCCAGGACTCACGCCTGCCTCATCACCTGTAAACCTATGAGGACCCTGCTGGGCTCTAAGTTAAAATTTTACCACCAGGCTGGATCACAGACCATCAGGTCTGCTTAAGTATGAGATCTTGTAGCATCGTTTTCTGTAGCCCGCGAAATAGCTAGGCAACAAAAACAGGTGCTGTCCGACGCATCTGCTGTCTGTCCTGGCATCTTCTGTCCTCACCAGCGGTAACCCGGTGAGTGGAGAGACAGAACACAGCAAGGAGGACACACACTCCTGAAGTCCTTTGTGATTAGAATCCAGAATCAGACACCAAAGAGACTGTGCAGAGACCTAAGCCAACAGGGATTTGTCAGCAGCTGCATCTCCAGGATTTGGATGACAGTGACATCTAAAAGCAGAAAAAGAATAGTGTTATTTTAAAGAAAACTTTTAATGGTTGTTTCTAACATATAAAGTTTACAGATTACGTTTCCATAGTAATGTAAATAAGCTATGGATTCATCAGGAGTATGCCATACCTCTTACTGAACCATACATTACACCTTTACACTTTTGCCTTTGGAAAGAACCGGGTCATTGCTGAAATAAATACATCAGAGAAATTAGGAAGGAGAAAGCATAATTAGCAAAGGAAAGCATTTTTCCATTTCAGTGTGTGCATAGACTTCTGTACCAAGAAGCAGAACTTTTCTGGTCATTCTCACATAAGCTTGAACCAGCAATTCTGAATTGAACATTGTCAGATCAACATTCTTGATTGGTTAATCATGTGTCCTGTTGGAAACAGATGATTGGCAGGCGTGTGCAGCCAGGTACGCTGTTAGGTGTTGCTGGTTGTTTCATGTAAGCTGTCACAGACATGTTGGACAACTGTAGGTCTACACATGGTAGACTAACGTAAACGTTCTATGACATGTGGAAAGTGTATACTAACCAGGCTGTGTGTGTAGAAGGGAACTCCTTATACTTATATCACTAAAGTATCTTAACCTATCATTTGAGATCCAAATAGGTCTTACTTAATCTCTCTCTCTCTCTCTCTCTCTCTCTCTCTCTCTCTCTCTCTCTCTCTCTCTCTCTCTCTCTCTCTCACACACACACACACACACACACACACACACACACACACACACACTGCTTGTTTTTTAATGCAGGTTAATTTCAAGGATCATTGGTATGTGTGGGAGTTTTTAAAAGAGTGACTGTCTGTTGTCTTGGCTGACGAGGATGTTTTTTCTGTGTGGTGTCTGTCCACCAACACCATGGTGACTTCTCTACATCCTCACTTCAGGAAATGACAGAAGCATGGAAGGAGAAGCTGCTCTCTACCTGGGCTCGGCCCACTTGGCTGCTGGAGAATATGAAACTGCACTCACAGTAAGTTGAAGCGAACATCATCATTTCATAATATCTGACGTTATCATAAGGTCAGAAGAGGTGGGTTGGGTCTGACATCAGCACACCTATTTTTGGATATCCAAACTGAATACCTGTCTCCTAGAAGCATGAAAAAGTGGGCTCTATTGGTCATCTAAGGTGAGTTATAGTCAGCCATTATGAAGCACTTTAAGAGATAGGGAAGTTACATACACTGAGTAATGTGACCCTCTACTCCCATTCCCCCAGAACAAGGGACAATAGTTTCCAATGAAGGAAGACTAAACGCAGAAAGCACAGTGATTTTAGAATGTGATTTTAGAATGTGAGGATGTGTCTGTTCAACAACAGTGCGATTTGCATAGATGTGAGTCTGGAGGCAGGGGCGGGGCAGTGAGAGGCTGATAGTCCCAATCTTCGACATGTCTTACTGCATGACAGAATTAGTGCCTGTATAGTTTGTAACGGGGCCTGCTCTGTTTGATGGGACACAAACAAGTACAAACATCAGAGCCGGGTTTTCTTTATTAGAATTGAAATCAGTTTTCTTTCCTTGTGCTATCTGTACTGTTTATTGAATGCGGCTTCCTAACCATCTACACCCCATGTCCTTACCTTACTTTTTATAGTGCAGGTTTGATGCTGAGCTTTGGGATCTCTTGGCTCCTTTAGATATTTATGTTAAGTAGGAGTCCTATATTTGGGTCACGTGTTATTTTCTAGTTCCCTTGAAACTGGTCCTCACAGAAAACATAGCTTTTCCTAAAAGACTCTTCCGTTTAAATTTTGTGGTCAGTGCTATGTGTTCAGCAAAGCTCTGTTCTGGTGCTTGGAGAGTGTACAAATGACCAAGATGCATGCTTTCCTGCAGGAGCTAATTTAATGGAAGTGACCAGCTGAGAAACAGGACCATAATTCAGAGCATAAGCTCAGAGCTTCTGAGCGAAGAGAGACGAGGGGGTAGGCTCCAGCACTGAAAACCAGGAGGGCCACACAGGAGAACAGTGGGGCAGTGGGGTTTCCAGATGCAGAAAACACAAAGGTGATGATGGAGTGGTGCACATAAACACATCACACACACACACACACACACACACACACACACACACACACACACACATTGTTTGGGGAGCAATGAATTGTCTGAGGAAGACAAAATGTATTAAGAGATGAAGGTAAAAATTTGTAAAGCATGGTGGTGTGTGCCAGCCTCAGCAAACTCAAGCAGGAGGACTGAGTTGGGGCCAGCCTAAGTTACATAGCAAGACTTCTCAAAGAAGAAAAAAGGGGGGGGACAAAGACTAAACTAAAAATTAAATTAGGTGAAACCCAGCTCCTGGATTCTCATCCCCGCTTCCCTCTCTTTCCCTCCCCCACCCCCTGGCTCCGTAGCAAGGTAGCATCAAGTCACACAGTAGCACTTAGAACAGAAAGCTCCCTTCCATCCCCACACTTAGCTCCACGTTCTTTTTCTCAAAGGCAAACACAGTTGCAAGTTTGTGACTGACCTTTCTAAGACATTCAGTATGTGCAGCACATATAAATGCATGTAAGTATGCATCCTTTTGTTATGTGTGAAATGCTTGCTTTTCACACATGCAGCTCTGTGCCCTGAATGAACTTTTCCACACAGGTTCAGGCATGCTCCACATTCGTCTTCACGGTTACAGGTTAACCAAGGGATGGTTAACAGATAAACGTGTGTATTTAGTTTGTAAAACATGCCACATGCTACTTTGAAATGGGTATAGACTGGAAAGTGATTGTCACAGTCAAGCTCATTAGCCTATTCTTCATAATGCCTTATTTTTCTGAGAATACTCAAAATCTACTCTCTCAGAAAATCTCATATGTAATTATACATTTGCTTCATTTTAAAAGGCCTGCATGGGATACATGTGGCTGGACATTAAGGTTATTTTCAATATATTTTTTATTATAAATTCCATGTGTTATGGCTTGAATATGAAATAACCCCTTAAAAGGCCCCCATGTTCTGGTCCCCAGTACAATGTTTGTAGATGAGGCTTTAGTAGGTGAAGGGACCATGAATACACTTCCCTCACTGACAGACTAAATCTAATTATGGATTTGATGATCTGGTGGCATACTTGGGAGGTAGCAGGAACTTTGCAGACAGGAACTTTGAAGAAATCAAATCTTGGTGGCTCACCATGCTGGATAGTTTCATGTCAACTTGACACAAGCAAAAGTCACCTCGGGGAGGGAACCTCAACTGAGAAATCTCTTCATGAGATCTGGCTGTAGACAAGCATGTAGGCATTTTCTTAATTAGTGATTGATGCGGGTGGGCCCAGCCCATTGTGTGTGTGTGGGGGGGGCAATCCCTGGGCTGGTGGTCCTGGCTTCTATAAGAAAGCAGGCTGAGCAAGCCATGTGAACAAGCCAGTGAGCAGCCTCTGCATCAGCTCCTGCCTCCTGGTTCCTGCCCTGCTTGCGTTCCTGTCCTGATTTCCTTCAGTGATGGACTGCAATGTGGAAATGTAAGCCAAATAAACCCTTTCCTCCCCAGCTAGCTTTTGGCGTGGTGTTTCACTGAGACACTCACCCTTGTAATGCTAATACTTGAATTCTAAGGCTGGAGCATTGCCATAAGTTCCTGACCAGCCTGGATTACGAAGCAAGACCTTGTTTCAAATCAACAACAAAGAAAAAAAGAAAACCTTAACAACAACAAAAAAGAAAGAAAAAGAAAAAGAAAAATAGGGAGCAACCAGATGGCTGAGCTGGGAAAGGCGCTTGCTGCCAAGCCTGAAGACCCAAGCTGGATCCCCAGAACTCTTAGGGTAGGAAATCACTGACTTCCGCAAGCTGTCCTTTGAACTTCATATGTGTGCTATAGTACATGTACACACACATACGGACACACAATAAGTAAATGTGTAAAAAACAGAGCAAAGAAGTAGGTGTCTCAGGGTGTGGGAGTGCGTTCTTGGGGCCCATTTCCTGTCCAGGGCTCTGTCTGTCCTTGTCTCTGCCTACTGCTGTGCGGTGTGAGGTGAGATGTGGTGAGGTGCGGTGTGAGGTGCGGTGTGAGGTGTGAGGTGAGGTGTGAGGTGCGGTGTGAGGTG